AGACAGAGAGACAGAGAGAGACAGAGACAGGAAGTCAGAGAGAGAGACAGAGACAGAGAGAGACAGAGACAGAGATAGAGACAGAGAGAGGCAGAGACAAAGAGAGAGAGAGAGACAGACAGACAGACTGGGCCTGCTTTCACTTTTGAAACATCAAAGTCCACCTCCAGGGACACACTTCCCACAACAACTAATCTTAGTCCTTCTAATCCTATCAAAAGCCCCTCCCCTGGTGACGGGCATTCAGGTGTGTGAACCTGTGGGGCTGTTTTAGTTTTGCTTTGCTAGACAGAGTTTCGCTGTGTAACCCTGGCTGTCCTGGAACTCACAGAGATCCTCCTGCCTCTGCCTCCCGAGAGCTGGGATTAAAGACGTGCTCTATCACCTCCAGGCTATGGGGCCGTTCTTATTCAAACCACCACAGTAGGACTTTAACAAACGCATCTGGAATGAATGCATATTTCCCCCTCTGGAACCCCAGGGAAGAATGAGACCCAAGAGGAGCTATCCCAGGGCTGGTCCTTCCTACGATGTCACAGTCTGAGACCCCAGAAGCCCTGGTTACACCAGACGCTGGTGAGTGCAGGGCCTTAGACTGCAGTTCCCAGAAACCTGTGTGTGACTGGGCTGTCAGGTGCTTCTCTTTTTGGGAGAGTCCACTAGAGAAGATTTTTTTTTTCAAAACTATAGTTACAACTTATTTCATCCATGAGCCATATAGTTTTTGACAACTTGACACAGCTGTGGACATCTGGAAATGGGACCCCCAGCTGAGAAAATGCCTCCACCAGATGGGCCTGTGGACAAGCCTAGGGGACATTTTCTTGATTAATGATTAATATAGGAGGGCTCCAACTTCTGTGGGCGATGCCACCCTGGGCAGGTGGGCCTGGGTCGTATAAGAAAGCAGGATGAGCAAGCCAGTGAGCAGCGCTCCTCCACGGCCTCGGCTTCAGTTCCTTCGGCCAGGTTCCTGCCCTGGTTTCTCATGAGGACCAACTGTAATCTGTAAGCCAAAAAAACCACTTCCCTTTACAGCCTTTGCTACACGAGACCTTGGTTTTTGTTTTAAAAAAGCAACCGAGTAGGTTAGGGCAAACATTCAAAGTATTGTTTGTGAAAGTATTGTTTCTGATATATCTGGACGAAGGCATGAGGTCAAGGTCAGATGTAAAATTGACGGGACTGTGGGTGCTAGAGAAACAGAACTCAGAAATCTGGAGGTGGTGCCCGATTCAAGTTCTGGGGTCTTTATATGCTTTTATTGATTTGTTTTATGTATATGGGTGTTTTGCTTGCATGTACATCTTGCACCAGGAGTGTACCTGGTGCCTGCGGAGGCCAGAAGAGGGTGTCAGGTCCCCTGGAACTGGAGTTACAGACAGTTGTGAGCCCCCTTGTGGGTGCTGGGACCCGAACCCACATCCTCTGGAAGTGCTCTTAACTGTGAAGCCATCTCTCCAGACCCCGTTTTTATCTTTATTTATTTAGTCAGTTTTTGGTTTTTCAAGACAGCATTTCTCTGTGTAGTCCTGGATGTCCTGGAACTCGCTCTGTAGACCAGGCTGGCCTTGAACTCAGAGATCCACCTGCCTCTGCCTCCTGGGTGCTGGAATTAAAGGCATGCACCACCACTGCCTGGCCTATTTTTATTTTATGTGCGTTGGTGTTTTGCCTGCCTGTGTGTCTGTGTGAGGGTGTTGGATCCCCTGGAACTGGAGTTACAGACAGTTGTGAGCTGCCATGTGCATACTGGGACCGGAACCCTCATCCTCTGGAAGAGCTCTTAACCACGGAGCCGTCTCTCCAGGCCGGGTTTTGGTTTTTGTTTTTAATTTTTGAGTCAGAGTCGGACTTACTATGTCGCCAGGAACTCCTGGTCCTCCTGCCTCTACTTCCCCCTTAAAGGCCTGGATAACCACTATCATCGGCTCTGAGGGTCTTGGTAAAAATCGCACACACTCGAGGAGCGCTAGGCTTCTCTGTCCAGGTCAGCAGCTGTCCCACGGCTGCCGGCTGTCTCCACCCCTCCTGGGTCTCTTCCTGCTTCTGTCTCGAGTCCCCTCCTTCTTTTCTTCAAGGGACAAACGCCCCCACTCCCGCCCCTCAGGAAACACGGGGGTGGGGTGGGGGAGGGAGGGAGCAAACGTGACCGACGGGGGTGTCAGGGGGCACTCTTATCTCAGGAGTTCTAACCAAAGACTCCGAAGCAAAAACGCCCAGGCTCCGTGGCGCAGAACAGAAAGTAGGCGACTTGGGGATGAGTTTGAGGGTTGAACTTTGTGAGCAAGGGCCTGGCGCGCTGCCCCAGCCGGCCGGCTACGGGAACTCGCTTCTGTGGGCGCAGGGGTGCACTGTTAACTAGAGGAGTTCATGTTCTTCCCCCTTTCACTATTATTTATTTTAAAGGAAAGACAGAAGGAGCCAAGAGAAATTGGAGTCAGTTCCTCCCGGAGAGGGAGCGGCTGAACTGATTCGGAAGTTGGATCTCTTTGTACAAAGGAATGCAGAGAGACAGAAAGGAGAGAGAGAGAGAGAAAAAAAAAAACCAAAACCCAACAACAACAAAAATAAAACCCACCCCATTGCTTCATTTCCCCTCCAAGTCCAAGCACTTTCTATTGTGCAATGAAAAGGCTTTTCATGTCGAGAGAAATGAATCCTGATTTGCAACGCTAAGGGCTTGAGCGTGCGTCTAGGCTCAAGACGGCTCTCAGCTGGGCGCGGTAGCCGCAGGGTGACCGTGGCCAAGTTCCCGGTGTGCTCCGCCACGCGTGGGCCACCTCTAAGGGTGGAGAGCCGCGAAGAGCAGCGCGGTGCCAGTGGACAGCCGTCTAGGGGGCACGCTAGATCCCGGGGTCCTCTGGTGGCGCTCCGAGCACTTTTGGGGATCCAGGCGCGCGCGCACGCTGTCGGGGAGGCAGAGCCCCGGGCGCGGGTGCACGTGGGAGCTGCAGCGGGGGCGGGCCGGGGTGTGGCCTCCCCGCCTCCCAGGCGGGATTTGCATGTGTGTGGCGGCCCCAGACTTCCTGCTCCTTCCCAGCTGCAGGTACGCGCGGGCCGGGCCGGGCTGGAGGACTGTGGGCGCGCAGAGACGCGGGCACCTCCTCACCCGGACCCGGGCCGCACCGCGCCTCCTCGCGCTCCGGGGGCCAGGGCAGCCGCCAGCCTGTCCTGGCTGCCCCGATCGTCCCGATCGCCGGGCTGCGAGGTGGCACAACGCCCCTCTCCGCCCAGCGCGCTGCAGTCCTCTGCGCCGAGCCTGGCAGCTCGCTCGTGGGCAATCTTGCCACCTCGAGCCCCGGAGGGCCAAAGCCATGAACGAAATGTCCAGCTTTCTTCACATCGGGGACATAGTGTCCCTATACGCCGAGGGCTCAGTCAATGGCTTCATCAGCACTTTGGGGTGAGTGAGCCTAGGGCAAAGGGGGGGGGCGTCGGGGCCGCCGTACCAGCTGCGTGTCTCTTGATGCCCAGTCCCCTGCCCCTCGATGGCGGGCTTGGGCGCCCTAGTCTCCAGAAGCGAGGGGGCACTGGCCTCCCTCTCTTAGAGAAAGGAAGTGCGCTGTTTGCTCAGGTAGTAGTTGGGCGCCCTGGGGAGTTCGCAGGAGGCGTCTGGGCCCACTGAGCCCGCCACTTCTGGCACACTCCTTTTCTTCGGTCGTGCCTGAGGGGTTTGAACTTCCTCTGCGAGTGGTCCTGGGGTGGTGCTGGTGGCAGGTGTCTGGGGCCTGAGTTGGAGAGGGCCTGGGTGTGCTTGGCTGGGGTTGGGGGTGGGGTGCTAGGGTTGGCTCCGACTGCAGCCTGGCACTCATCCCTATCGCCCCATCCTGAATCGGCTTTTGATGGGTTGAACTTTCTCACTCACCTTGTGTCGCATCCCGGCTTTAGTAGGAGTGTTTTCTTTACCCTCCCGGTCCAGGCAACCCAGGTCTCGGCCAGCTGGCCCCCCTCTCCCCCCTCCCCGCCCCTTCTCCCCGTCAATTTCCTGTGCAGCAACTCTGGCGCCCCTGGTCCCAGGTTCTCCAGAGCACTTTACAAACATTAATTAATTCTGACTGCCACCCCCCAGGGTCTAGGCTGGATAAGCAGGCAATCGATTCTGTCCCAGGCTGGGGCCAGACCTCTGAGCCAGGAGAGGGTGGAGTTCCTGTATCTTTTTAGAGAGCCCCTTGGGCACCTTGCTGCTGGAGACATGGAGAGAGTGCAGGCCAGGGTCTGGTCCTTTTGCCCCATTCAGTGCTGGCGTGCGCCTGCGCGCGTCGGGGTGGGGGGGGGAGGTGGGGGGAGGAAGGTAGGGTGGGGTGGGGTCGGGGGCGAGGAGGGCGGGAGGGACTATGTTCTGTGGCCTCATCTTTCCCAGCAACACTCAGTTGCCCAGAGGGTGCCTCCTGTGGGGACCTTGGAACTGTGTGTGGGGTATCCTCGGTCCCAGGCTAGCCCTACACTGGTCGGGCAGGTGGGAAGCTTCTGGCTCACTGGGTTTCTCCACTGGTGGCTGGAATTCAGTGAGCCGTAGGGAGGAGAACCCACAAGGGCCTCTTTGCCGGAGGAGGCTGAGATGGGAGTTCCAGCATTCCTTCCCCCTCCCAGCATCCTTCAGGCTCTCCTACACACCTCCTGGGTCAGATGTGGATTCCTACACACACCTCCCCATCAGGTTTCTCCTCTGCAGTTACCCGGAGAAGAGGGGTGGAGCCACACACATCTGGGCCAGCATCTGAGCAGTGCCAGGGCCCCATACAGGGGAGGTCCACAGTCAGCACTTCACATTCTGCTGTGGAACAGGGTGTGTGTGTGTGTGGGGGGGTGAAGCCCGAGGTGGGAACCCCCTTCCCCCCAAGCTCTGCAGCATTTTGGGAAAATAGCCACTTCTTTTGTGGATGTTTCTGACTCGGGATTGAGCACTGGGTGGATGTTGTTTAAGCACCTTGAGGATTAACAGAGCCAAGGGAAGGGTCTAAGGTCCCTTTTCCCACCCTCAGGCAGGCTCCCTCATTTGGGAATCCCTCTGCATGCTCTCTCTCTCTCTCTCTCAAATTATTTTATGTGTATGGTGTTGCTTGCAAGTATGTCATATTATTACCATGTGGGTGCTCAGTGACTGTGGAGGCCAGAAGAGAGCGTAGTCGGGTCCCCACGGGTGTGAGCTATCTTGTGGGTGCTGGGGGGTGAACTCAGGTCCTCTTCCAGAGAGGCCCGCTCTCTTAAGCCTCGAGCCATGCTGCCAGCCTCGGCTCCCCTGTTCCCTGTGTACCGTCTTCCTGCCCCAGGAGCTGCTTGCTACTTTTAGTCCACGTGGACCTCAGGGCAGGTCTCAGGGCCCTGACCCCAGGGAGCCCCTTCCTATGAAACTCCCCCCAAAAGATGGACAAATGGGCTGAAGAGATAGCTCAGAGGTTAAGAGCACCAACTGCTCTTCCAGAGGTCCTGAGTTCAATTCCCAGCGACCACATGGTGACTCACAACCATCTGTAAAGAGATCTGGTGCCCTCTTCTGCCATGCAGGCAAAAACACTGTATACATAATAAATAAATCCTTAAAAAAAAAAAAAAAAGATGGACAGCCTGGCCTGGTGTGCTGGCCTAGGCCTAATCTGAGCTCACCTCGCCAGAAGTTCAGGTGCATTTCCTGGAACCGCCCCCCTGGTCTCTTTACCTTTGCTCCTGTGTGGCTCCTGCCGGCCCGCCTGAGTAAATCTGTCCCACCCTCTGAGACCTAGCCCAAAGGGGCCTCTTTTGAAAGCTGAGACCCCACCTTCCAGGGCAGAATTAGCCCTGTTCTTTCTGTGACGTTTTCAGACGTTCTCTGGTGGGCATCGGGCTCCCCGTAGGCCCAGCTAACACTCACTCGCAGGGCAGGGCAGGCACTGGCAGGGTTAGTGAGTCAGCTGTGCCCTCGTGGGGGCTGCACTGTGCTGGAGACCTGTGAAGAGGAAGGGAGCCGCCTTCCAGCTGCGGAAGAATGAGTGGCCGCACTGTAGTAACTCACTGTACCCAAGTGGACTCTCCAGTCCCAAGCTGCAGCATCCCTAGGGTCTCCATAGTCCTGTGGAGTAGGGTCTGTAACCCCAGCACGTGGGAAGTGGTAGCAGGGGGGATCCTGAATTGAAAGACAACCTCTGCTATATAAGGAGCTGAAGGCTAGCCTGAGCTACAAAGAGCCTGTCTTCAAAAAAACCCAACCAACCAAAAAACAAAAAACAAGGCAGACAGATAAGCAAAAAAGGTCAAACTTGGCAGCTAGACTCCAAGAGCCTGCATGTTCGGTCAGACTGAACCGGGGTCTGCATGCCTCTGCTTCCTTTTCTGCAGAGCTGGAAGTTGGACCCTGGTCTCAGGCATGCTAACTGCATGCTGGTTTGAGGCATGCTGACTGGGCATGTTGGTCTGAGGCATGCTAACTGCATTCTCAGGCATGCTAACTGTGCATACTGGTCTGAAGCATGCTAACTGTGCATTATCAGGCATGCTAACTGCATGCTGGTCTGAGGCATGCTAACTGCATTCTCAGGCATGCTAACTGTGCATGCTGGTCTGAGGCATGCTAACTGCAAGCTGGTCTGAGGCATGCTAACTGTGCATGCTAGGTGCATTTGTCAGGCAGGTTCCCGTGCTATGCCACTGAGCTCTACCTCAGTCTTCAATACTGCATTTTAATTGCATCCCCGGGGCTGGAAGCGGCTCTTAGAGGCTCTCTGGGTCTTACTCAGAGTCAGTCTGCCTCCATCCTTAACTCTGGTCCTGCAGCCTTTCCTGAGGCTGTTGGTGCCCAGGGTCTTGAGCCCTGGGGCCGGGGTGATGGAGCTCCTGGGCCTCTCTCAGTGCCCAGAGTCTGGCATTTGTTTAGTCTGTGACATGAATTGAAGACAGAAGGCTGGGCCCGCTGGGGAGGTGGGGGGGGGGGGAACTCTGGTAGAGGCGAGGGAATGCCGGTAGAGGCCAGGAAACGTAGAGGCCAGGAAACGCTGGTAGAGGCCTGAGCACTTGAGACAGCCAGTTAAAACCTCTTGGGTAATTAGAGGTCCCATGAAGATTGTATATTAACTGGGTTGGGAGGCTGGGAGGGGTCTGGGGAGTGGATCCTGGAGGTGGTTGGGACTCAGGGAAGCAGGCCCACACCTGTTCCTGGCAGGGAAGCGTGGCTGTGGCTGGCCTCGCCCCTCACCCAGGTGGAGAGACAAAGGCCAGAGCTGCAGATCAGGGAGGAGGAGGAGGGCGAGGGTTGATGTGGCTCCAGGCCGTTGGCTAGAGGAAGGTGGCCCTGAGAATGCAGGGTGGACCCATCTGGCCTCCTGGAGACCTCTTAGTGCCCTCAGGGTGGCTGCAGGGCCCAGGGATTGAGCTGGGAGTACAGGTGAACTAAATCTTTTTTTTTTTTTTAAAGATTTATTTATTTATTATGTATACAGAGGAGGGTGCAAGATCTCATTACAGATGGTTGTGAGCCACCATGTGGTTGCTGGGAATTGAACTCAGGACCTCTGGAAGAGCAGCCAGTGCTCTAAACCTCTGAGCCATCCCTCCAGCCCGTAAACTAAATCTTGAAGAGGCATTTGTCAGAAGCCTTTGCTGCCCATGAAGCCCTGGGGTCACTTTTGGGGGTGTGTCTCCGCACCTCTGGACCGGGTCACCCCATGGTAAGGTAGTCAGGGTTGAGGGGCCCCGCCTTCTCCTGTAGCGCTCTCTGTCACTTTCTATCCTTACCTAACATATCTTGGAGGGTGGGTAATGGAGACCAGGACTCTAAGAAGTATGGGCAGAAGTGTGAGGAGCCCCAGGTTCCCAGATGAGGGTCCCTGGGGCAGGAACGTCAGGAGCATGCTCCCTGGCCCCTGATCCATCACTAACTGGATATTTTCACAACTCTGCCTCCTCAGAGTAGCCCCCCCCAACCCCCATGCTGGGGTCAAACCTAGGGTTCTGACAGATGGGTTACAGCTCCAGCACACCCTGTGTATTCTCTGCCTTTCTCTTTAAAAAAGATTTAATGCCAGGTGTAAAGGCCCATGCCTTTAATCCCAGCCCTCAGGAGGCAGAGGCAGGCTGATTTCTGAGTTAGAGGCCAGCCTGGTCTACAAAGCAAGGTCCAGGACAGCCAGGACTACATAGTGAAACCCTGTCTAGGAAAAAAGAATTTAATTATGAGTGGGGAGGGGGAGGCATGGCGAAGGTGAGTACAGATACCCCTGGAGACCAGAAGAGGGTATTGGATCCACCTGGGGCTGGATTTAATTATAAGTGTGTGTGTGTGTGTGTGTGTGTGTGTGTGTGTGTGTGTGTGTGTGAGTGTGTGTGTGTCGGGGTACATGGAGTCCAGAAGAAGGTATTGGATGCCCCGGGAGCTGGAGTTTATGTGATTATGAGCTGCCCAACATGGATGCTGTGAACCGAGCTTGGGTCCTC